GATCTGCGAATTCCTCATTGAGGGGGTCTGTGTCTTTTTCCCGGTTCATGTCAGTTGCGATGATTATTATTGTAAGCAAGGGGCACAACATACTCATACACTCATACAAAAGCTCGCGTTCGTATTCGTATTAATGCGTGCCCTTGCTCTATCATTATTCTATGAGGTTCTTTATGTGTGCACGCGCACGCATTATTGAGACCCTGCCAAAAAAGGCTATGTATAGGGGTCGTTACATTTGGCATAGTAAACAAATTTGTCGCACGCCAGTAAAACAATTTCATTGTCCGCGCGGTAGAAAAGCACCATTCAACCTGAAAAACCGAGGCCCACAAAGCCTATATGGTCATTCTTTTTCAAAAACATGGTCCCTTTTGCGGTCCCTATTCTAAGAGCCCTGGTATTTAAGGTACCCAAAAAAGGGACCCTAATTCTTTGTTTTTTGCTGCACTGTGTGTCTGAGGCCGCGACCTTTCGACAAGCAACAAGACCCTAATTCAGAGAACTGACCACATGATGCCATGGCAAGTCCTTCGACCCTCAGCCCCAAAGCCTCCAAATCCTCAATGTTGTTAAGAACGCCAAGCCTACCTTCTCCCCCTGGTTCTGAGTAGGGAATGAGGGAATTAAGGCCCTATATACACCCCTACACAAGGGAGTATAGAGGTACCTCATCCCCTCATTCCCTACTAAGCTGTAGGTCCGCAGAGGGACAAAAAAAAAGCCTGCACTGCCTAGATAACCCTAAACCCTAAACCCTAAACCCTAAACCCTAAACCCTAAACCCTAAACCCTAAACCCTAAACCCTAAACCCTAAACCCAAGATTTGTGGTTGTGGGCTCTCACGGTGGACGTGGAAACCCCCTCCACCCCTCACCATTCCACCCCCAAGCCTTAACCCTGAACCCGCAATTTCAGAACCCTACGCCCTTAACCCTAAGGTCTGCACAGGGTTCAGGGTTTGGGGGCTTGGTGCTAGAGGGCTTGGGCTCAGGGTCTCGGAACCCTCAACCTCCAACTGAAACCCTGAAAACCCAAGACCCTAAACCCCAAACCCCAAACCCTAAACCCTAAACCCCAAACCCTAAACCCTAAACTTTCCCTAAACCCTGAATTCCTCAGCCAATTCTGCAGGAGGATCCGGAGGCGGCTCACCCAACCGGATTGTCCGAAGGCGCGGTACCAGCAGTTTTAGTGTAGGCTCAAGGTTGACGATATTTAGGGTTTGGGGTTTGGGGTTTAGGGCTTCCGGCCCGGGATTCTGTTTGTGGGAGGGCCGCCGGGTGTGCTGCGCGATCCCGAATTAACCCTTAACCCTGAATCCTAAACCCTAAACCCTAAACCCTAAACCCTAAATCCTGTAAACCCTGAGTCTTGAGCTCACCAGAGGCAACTCCGATGAGGATGGCTCACTGAGCCCAGGCCCTGTGCAGGGCGAGGCGCACGGCGTTGGGGCTTTGGGCATCTTGGGTTTAAGGGCTGTAGGGGGTTGAGGGTTTAGGGCATTTAGGGCTTAGGGCTTTAGGGCTCTAGGGGGTTTTAGGGCTCTAGGGGGTTTTAGGGCTTTAGGGCTTTAGGGCATTTAGGGCTTTGGGGCTTTAGGGCTTTAGGGCTCTAGGGCTCTAGGGGTTTTAGGGTTTAGGGCTTGGGCATTGACGGTTTGAGGTGGGGATCTGGGACCTAGGGTGGCCTTGCACCCTGCAAGTCCTAGCCATATATAAATACATCCCCCCCAAAAAAAAACCCTGCATCCCAAATCCCAAGCCCTAAGCCCCAAGTCCCAAATCTCAAGCCCAAAGCGCCCTTAAGGGTCCAGTTTCCTCAATATCATAAATTTGGGCCCATCCGTCACAGCATAGGCAGGACTTGAAGGCCCAAGTCGTCCCGATCTAGGTACATGGGCGCTTTTGGATTCAGGTGTAGGCTCGCAGCAGGTCTTGAGAACGCTTGGGTGTCTTTTCGTTTTGTTTGTTCAGCACTCTTGTGGGGTCTGAGAGATTTGGTGTTCTAAGTATTACTGTAATTACTGTAACCCTAAACCCGAAGCCCTAACCCCTATAACCCGAGAACCCTAGAACCCTATAACCTTACACCCGAAAACGGCAAGCTTTTGAGCTGGGAAGTGGGGGGGTCTGCAGTTGGGCGTTTCGGGGCCGGTGTTCTGTTGCCCCCAAAAAGCCCTATAGGGTTTCGGGTGTAGGGCTTACCCTAGACTCGAAACCCGTGCTGCAGGGTCAAAGGTAGGATTCAGAGCACGGT